AAAAAAAAAAAAAAAAAAAAAGAGCCCTTTTATGAATCAAACACTGACAAGGTGATCTGTTCTGAATTGAGTTTTCCAAATACTGAACATGTCTACATAACCAGCTGTGGGTTTTTTAAAGTACAATATTTCTTTTGCATATCATTTCAGGATACTACCCATTTGGATAATAAAAATGCATTATTAACAGCTATAATTATTATTTTTATTATTATCCTCATTATTATTCAAGTCTAGTATTGAAACAGTAAAATCTCACTTGCAAGACATTTTCCTCAGCACCGTTAAAGAGGAATATAACAGCATGCTGTAAGGCTTCTGCAGATGTGGCCAGGACACGAAGGACTTCCAGCATCACTGAACAGCTAACCGCATCATCACTGGCACCTTTAAATCAGAAGAACACATTTGCTGCTCAGATTTGAAAACCTTTACAGTACAAACCATGATGGCTAGGAGTGGAGTTTTCTCCTCAGAGAAGCATCACAAGAGCTGCATGACCACAAACATAGCTCCATCACCACCAGGACACAACTACATCCTCCAGCAGTCAGCTCCATGAGGGCAGGGATCTGGTTTGCTTGCTGACTTGCTTTCAATGTCTAAAGCCACAACTAGCCAACAGTAGCCACTTAACTAATATCTGTGGAATAGATCAACCACATGGAACCTAAAGTCATCCTGATAACTGGCATTCTCAGCAACCCAAAGCAATTTATTCCATTCTGTATCCTTATTCCACATTCTCTGTAACATTCTCATTTCTGGTGCACGGCTTCCTGCATCATCTCCCACTGCCACCTACTCCTTTCTTATTTTCCTGCCAAAATCATAAAAGCTGCAGATCACTCCACATTTACAGAGGGGTCAGTTTAGATAGTGTAGCATTAAGATTTCTCCAGGGGGATCATGTCATGGAAAAGTAAGAAGTACTAATCTAGAAAGACACAGGAAAGGAGACTAAAATGACCTAAGTGGTATCCCTGGGCCCAGCACTGATAAAGTAGAGGACTCAGTCAAATCTCTTAAGCTCTTCTTAATTCAGAAACTTTATATGTTAATTAAAGTTAATTAAAAAGATGTCTTTAGGGCCTTGATTTTTTTAAAGCACTGTCGGGTAGTTAAAGGAACTGACTGGCTATTAGATGACACTGAAAAATTATTGTCAGGTTTTTCATGGTATTACAAGCAGGTGAAAAAGGGTCCTGATCTTTCAGCAATATAGACTGAAATACATAGAGGAACCAATATAGCTAAGATGTGCTTTAAAATAATCAAGTGGGGGAGAGGGTAGAAAATAAATAGGACCCAACTGTTGAAGCTGGGTGACAGACACATTGATGTTCATTAAACAATTCTGTGTATGTATATATTTGAAATTTTCTATAATAAACAGCTTATTAAAGAGTAATCCAAGTAAATAAGCACTATAATACCTCAGGCCACAGCATTTCTGAGTTTGTACACTAGGAGACAGGGTACTGGAGAGTTTAACATGAATTTTAGAGCAAGAAAGACTTGGAAATAAATTTTAGCTCTGTCACGTTACTCCACTATCTCCTGGACTAGAAAGCAGGCTAATGAAACCTACCTCACAGGTTTGTTGTGAGGACTACACAAGATAATGCACAGTGCCTACCACGTGGTAGGTGTCAAATGTTAGTTTTTTCCTTCTCCTCTTTGCAAACTTATGCAAGGCTCTGTAGCCAGCTAAAATGTTTGGGCTCTGTAAAATTCCAAACCCCATCCCTACTCAAAAAGGAAATACTTAACAACTATACTTGTCTTGGTGGTAATTACTGAATTGTATTTTAATCAAAATGATATAAAGTAATAATTACCTAATTACTATCAAGCAGGAAGTATATGTTGCTATCAGTAAAAAATGCGACCTTCCAGAAACCAAAAACATTTTCCAGAAACATTTTTTTGACTTTGAGACTGAGTTACTTTAAAACAAAAAGCAAGTAATAAAATTTTACTTTATTCAAAATAAAGGGGAAATTGAAAGGTATGTAGCTATATAACTTCAACTAAAAAGTTAAACTGTCTGTTTACCTTCCCCTATATTAATGGTTCTGTGTCTTAGAAGAGAACTAGAAAAGGGCCAAATATCTTAAAGAAAGTAAAAGAAAGTCAGAGGATAGTATCTATAAGGGCTAGGTGGTTAACCAACAACCCTCTCCATTTAGAATTAACCCTGAAATTGAAGCCACCCCCAACATAACTCAATGTCTCTTCTATCTATGAACTGGAACTACATAGCAGACCCAAGAAGATAATTAAGGCCTTTCTGTGGATAACATTAATCCTACTTGGTATCAGTTCCAGAGTCCCAGATAACACTGCTGAGAGTTTTTTCTAAATACCCATGCTTTTAGTTCATCAACTAAAAAGATTTAGATGATAGTCTATTTGATGAACGTACGAAACACTACTTTTAACAATTTATTATTGACAGAAATTTCCTTGAGATGGTTGGTATGGGTATGTTTATAAAATTTTAGTTAAAAATGGGTAACTATGGCTCACAAAAATGTCATCCTTCAATTATTAGATTCCATATACACAATTTGTAACATTTGGTACTACCAAATGCAGGACATAAATTTATGGAGGTGTCTCATGTTCCCTCTCTACCAAGGACAAAGGTTGATCACCAAAGACAACTTTAGACACTTATCAGCCTGGAGACAGCACCAGAGGAATCTACATAAAACAAGCTTTACTAACGAAACTTTATCTACTATATATTTGCCTTCCTACAATTTGCCACCCCTAGAACTCAAGGTGCTTTTCCTTTGTCTTGTCACTTCTCCAAAAACTTACTGTTCTTTGTTGAAAATACTATTTAAGCCTGATTTCTAAGCCACATCTTTGAGATTTACTCATTTTCCCTGGGATCTCCCATGTACACAAGAGGTATACATGTTAATAAACTTGTTTGTTTTTCTCTCATTAACTTGTCTTTTGTTAACAGGGGTCCATCCCAGCTAAGAACTATGAAAGGTAGAGGAAAATTTATTTTTTTTCCCCTGCATTTGTTTCTGATACTGTATATGCATCTTTCTTATATTCTTAAGCAACCATGGTGTTTATTTGCCCCTTCCCAGAATTTAACCATCCTAACAGTGGGAATGGTGACACACTTTATTACTCTGAAAGGATATAAAAGACCACTGGTTTCCCTAGCACACACAAAGGTACTTCTGCCTTTATAAAACAGATGTATGTATACTGTTTTTTTTTAAAAAAAGCAAGTTACATCCTACATGCAATTGGCAAGCTTTTTCTAGTATAAGCAATTATATCAAGAAAGTAAATTTTACTTTACATTTGTATACTCTACCTGGTCACACTGGGCCTGCCATAAGTTCAAACAATCCACAAGTACTAATATTAAATAACAGCTATTATCAAAAAAAAGAAGAAGATTTTCTTTCTTTTTTTTTTTTTTAAAGATGACCGGTAAGGGGATCTTAACCCTTGACTTGGTGTTGTCAGCACCACGCTCAGCCAGTGAGCGAACTGGCCATCCCTATGTGGGATCCAAACCCGGGGCCTTGGTGTTACCAGCACTGCACTCTCCCAAGTGAGCCACGGGCCGGCCCAAAAAGAAGATTTTCCACACCAGGTGCTGTTCTAGTGTTTTACTTATACTTAATCCTCCAAGCAACACTATTAGGAAAGTACTGTTATTTTCTCCATTATAAAAGAGAAACTGAGGAAAAGATGTTAAGTAATTTTCCAAAGGGAGCATTAATTACACTCCAATACTCTCTTTCCTTTCAAATGTAGCTGAAAGAATTGACTGCCCAGGAAACTCAGCATCTGATCCCAATTCTATCTCTGATCAGCAGTGATCAGCTAAATTTATTCCTGTGTCAAAAGAGGAGGTTGAGTCAGATGCCATCTCATTTCTTAACTACCTCTAAAATGCTAAGGTCCCATTGCAAAACGCTATTTTCCATTCTTCCCTACTTACAATCTCTTTAACTAATGAAAACATTTTTCAGAGGAAACTTATTTTTAAAAAATGGAAGTGCAATTTAGGGGATTCTCATTCATTTCACAAATATTTATTGTGTTAGGCACTCTCCTAAACATCAAATATACTATTTTGCCAAAGTATATTCAGAGCAAGATTTATAAATTAATTAGGCACTATAATACTATGGCACCCCCAATGGACCAAAATTCTCACCTTTTGGGTCAACAGAAACTGCTAGAAGAGATGTCTTCCAAAGCATGCATGCCTTGAAGGCAGGGAATGTCTTTATCCAACATCCCTAAAACCTAGTATAACACCTAGCTAAGTAAACACTTGAAGAGGCAGAATCCAGTTCTATCAAACCCCCAGAACACAGAGACACTCCTTTCTGGTAACACTGATAAGGCTGCTTTAGTGTACATAAAACATTCCAGTACTGTCACTGGGCTGCTGGCATTAACTTAAAAAAAATAATAATAATAAAGCACTTAAGAAAATATTGAAAAATCAGATCCTAAACTAAATGATACTAATTATCCTGCCTTCCATCACAATGNCCATTTAGAATTAACCCTGAAATTGAAGCCACCCCCAACATAACTCAATGTCTCTTCTATCAATGAACTGGAACTACATAGCAGACCCAAGAAGATAATTAAGGCCTTTCTGTGGATAACATTAATCCTACTTGGTATCAGTTCCTGAGTCCCAGATAACACTGCTGAGAGTTTTTTCTAAATACCCATGCTTTTAGTTCATCAACTAAAAAGATTTAGATGATAGTCTATTTGATGAACGTACGAAACACTACTTTTAACAATTTATTATTGACAGAAATTTCCTTGAGATGGTTGGTATGGGTATGTTTATAAAATTTTAGTTAAAAATGGGTTACTATGGCTCACAAAAATGTCATCCTTCAATTATTAGATTCCATATACACAATTTGTAACATTTGGTACTATTTGGTACTATGTTTGTAAAGGGTAGCAGAATATGGCACCCCAAAACATGGCATAGGGATTATTTTTAGCTGAAGGCAATTGAGAATTAGATACATGAAAAGCTCTCTGCCTTCCCTATTTGCATAAATGCAGGACATAAATTTATGGAGGTGTCTCATGTTCCCTCTCTACCAAGGACAAAGGTTGATCACCAAAGACAACTTTAGACACTTATCAGCCTGGAGACAGCACCAGAGGAATCTACATAAAACAAGCTTTACTAACGAAACTTTATCTACTATATATTTGCCTTCCTACAATTTGCCACCCCTAGAACTCAAGGTGCTTTTCCTTTGTCTTGTCACTTCTCCAAAAACTTACTGTTCTTTGTTGAAAATACTATTTAAGCCTGATTTCTAAGCCACATCTTTGAGATTTACTCATTTTCCCTGGGATCTCCCATGTACACAAGAGGTATACATGTTAATAAACTTGTTTGTTTTTCTCTCATTAACTTGTCTTTTGTTAACAGGGGTCCATCCCAGCTAAGAACTATGAAAGGTAGAGGAAAATTTATTTTTTTTCCCCTGCATTTGTTTCTGATACTGTATATGCATCTTTCTTATATTCTTAAGCAACCATGGTGTTTATTTGCCCCTTCCCAGAATTTAACCATCCTAACAGTGGGAATGGTGACACACTTTATTACTCTGAAAGGATATAAAAGACCACTGGTTTCCCTAGCACACACAAAGGTACTTCTGCCTTTATAAAACAGATGTATGTATACTGTTTTTTTTTAAAAAAAGCAAGTTACATCCTACATGCAATTGGCAAGCTTTTTCTAGTATAAGCAATTATATCAAGAAAGTAAATTTTACTTTACATTTGTATACTCTACCTGGTCACACTGGGCCTGCCATAAGTTCAAACAATCCACAAGTACTAATATTAAATAACAGCTATTATCAAAAAAAAGAAGAAGATTTTCTTTCTTTNAATATTGAAAAATCAGATCCTAAACTAAATGATACTAATTATCCTGCCTTCCATCACAATGAAAAAGGTTTGCCCAAGAAAATGGTTCCCACAATTGCCCAAGTAGGCTGGCTTTATGTTAATAAACTTACTGGGCTCTGAAGTCTTCAAAATGACTAAAAAACAGGTACATACCTGGTGAGTTCACCACTGAGTCAAAATGACAATTAGCCAGGACAGCATGCTGGGCTCCATCTCTGGGTTCTAGCTTTACCACAACATTGGTGATGTTGTCGTAATAGCTTGTAAAACCTCCCAAGAAGTCAATGCTAAAGGAGCCTGTGGGCCGTTGCACATCTACTGAAATCTTGTGAAGGCTGTTGCTTTGCACTTCAATCAGTTTAATCTGTTCCAAAAGGTAGTGCACTGTCAGAATTTCATTTTCTGGACTTCCTGTAGTCCTGGGGCCAATGGATGTTATGTGTTCAAGGTAATCCCTGGAAGTTACCAAAAGAATGATGATGAGGTTTAAAATTAACACTTAGCATGGAGCAACTTTTCCACTACACTCCTCATATCCCCCC